CTCTTAATGTTATCCCATATTTCTTGGATGTTCTGCTCATGGTTTCTTAACAGTCTTGCTGAGCTGTCTATGTTCTTTTCCAGTTGAAATACTTTGTCTTCATTGTCTGATGTTCTATCTTCTAAGTGTTCTACTCTGCTGGTAGTATTCTCCATTGAGTTTTTAAGTTGGTTTATTGCTTCCTGCATTTCTAGGATTTCTGATTGCTTGTTTTTTATAACCTCTATCTCCCTGTATAGTTGATCCTTTGCTTCCTGGATTTGTTTGCGTAATTCGTTGTCGAAGTGATCTTTCATTGTCTGATTTTGCTGTTTAATGTCTTCCTTGATACTCCAGATCATCTGAAGCATGTATATCCTGAATTCTTTATCTGACATTCCATCTGCTGCAGCTGTTACCTCTTCTAAAGTTGCGTTGACCTGCATTGCTTGTGGTCCTTTCTTTCCTTGTCTTTTCATACTGCTTGCGTATCTTTCCTGCAGGTGCGGGCGGCGGCTCTGCTCTCTCCTTATTCCAATTGGGGTGTCGTGGCTACCACGCCGGCAGGTCACTGGGCCTGTTCTGGGAGCTGGTGGCGGCTCTGTTCTGCCCCTACTCCAATTGGGGTGACGTGTCTGTCGTACCAGCAGGCCACTGGGCCTGTCCCGCTGGTCGGTCGCAGATCTGCCCACCTTTCGGGCACGGGTGGAGGCTCTGCTTTGCCCCTACTCCAATTGGGGTGTCGTGACTACCCCGCCTGCAGGATGCTGGGTCTGTTCCTGGCAAGGGAGGCGACTCTGCTCTGTCACTACTCCAATTAGGGTGGTGTTTGTACCACGCCGGCAGGCTCCTGGGCCTGATCCGCCGGTCTGTTGTAGGTCTGCCTACCTTGAAGGCGCGGGCGGCGGATCTGCCCTGCCCCTCCTACCACGCCTGCGGACCCCTGGGCCTGATCTGCAGGTTGATCACTGGTCTGCTCACCCTGCGGGCACGGGTGGCGGTTCCGCTCCACCCCCACTCCAATTGGGGTCACGTGACCACCACACCGGCAGGGCCTGATCCGGGCGTGGGATAAGGATCTGCTCTGCCCCTACTCGAGTTGGGGTGACGTGTGTACCACACTGGCAGGCCACTGGGCCTGACCCGCCAGGCTGTCACAGGTCTGTTTACCTTGCAAGCGCGAAGGGCGGCTCTGCCCTGCCCCTCCTACCACGCCCATGTACTACTGGGTCGTGGGTCTGCCCACCTGGCGGGTGTGGGTGGCGGCTCCGCTCCGCCCCCTCTCCAATTGGGGTCACGCGGTCACCACGCTGGCGAGCCGCTGGGCCTGCTCCGGGGGCTGGCGGCGGCCCGGCTCCTTCCCTCTGGCTCGAGGACAAATTGAGGAGACTCGGGTGACTGAGCCTCACCCCCCTTACCAGAAGACCAACTGCTTATGTCACCGCTGGTATTGATGAAGATCTCTCCTCCACTGCTTTCTGCTGACATCAGATCTCTGCCATGTTGGTATCCTATGCGAATGGCAGCATTTCGTTCCCCTTGCCGGGCAACCCAAGCAATGGGTGAGTCCTGACCTGCCCTCAGCAGGACCCGGACCGAGACACAGTTTCCGCGGGCTCCTAGCCCCGGTCCAGGGAAGTTCCGGGAGCCGGAACTCGGCCGCTCCGTGCTCGGTGTAAGCTCCTATAAGTGTAAGCTCCAAGAAGCAGTCCCCGCGGGCTCAGTTCCGGGAGCTGGAATTCGGCTTCTTGGTGCTTGGTGTTTGCTCTGATAGTAGCAGGATCCAAGAAGCAGCCTCCGCAGGCTCCGCAGCCCTGAGCCAGGGCGGTTCCGGGACGGTTCCGGGAGCCGGAACTCGGCCGCCCCGCGCTCCGTGTTCACTCCGATAAGATCAGATTTTAAGAAGCCCCCAGGCGCTGAACCCTAGCAATCTGTCTGCAAGCCGCAGGCGAATTGCAGCCTGAAATTACCTGTTCTATGGCTGAATGAGCTGTGGTCAGTCAAAAACAGGTGTGGTGACGTCAGTTTACCAACATGGTGGCTGCTGGCCTCCTCTGTGGTCTGACCGGTGTGGAGAACCGAGATGGACCGCTTCCTTCCCCCGTCTCGAACCCAGAATTCAGCCCTGAGTGCGGTGCTTGCGCGTCTGGCAGAAACTGCAGCACTGTAACCCTGCGTCTCTATCCCAGCGCGCGTTGCAGACTCTAGCCGCGGGGCGATTTGCTGAATAAGCAGTGTTACCCTCCGTGGGACAAACCTCTCGCGTTTGAGTCCCCGTAGCCGATCCTCATGCGATGGAAATCCTTCCTCCAGGTTCCGGCGCACCCCACTATTGCTGGAAATTCCTAACAAGATATCCTTTAGCCGTCCTGACTTGTCATACTCCCACACAGTGAAGCAGCACACGGGGGTAATGCACTCCCCTCGCCGCCATCTCGGGAATCTGGTCTGTTTATCTTTGTGTCCCCAGAACCTAGATTAGTGACTGGTGTAGCATGTTCAATAAAAATACATTAATTCATTTTGTGGGTTTCTCAGAAATATTGTGGGAGATGATGACAACTATTAATTAGCATCATCACATTTGAATTTATAGTCTAGGATATTTGCTCATATTTATAAAAATGACTGAAATCTATTGTGCCTATTTTATACACAAGGAAACTGGGGATTAGAGTGAAAGCAACTTTCCCCAATCCCATAGAGAATAAGGACCAGAGCTGGTATAAATTAGTGTAAGAAGACCATGTAGAAGATGTTGCTATAGCTGAGACAAGAGCCAACAAAAGCCTTCATAAAAAATAAGGAAGAGGATAGGGAAAACTGTGAACACTGAGAAATATGAGAGACAGAATCCAATATACTACTTGAAGTAGCCCATAAAATCAAATGAGAGGGCTGGGGATGTGGCTCAAGCGGTAGCACACTCGCCTAGCACTCGCCTGGCATGCGTGTGGCCCGGGTTCGATCCTCAGCACCACATACAAACAAAGATGTTGTGTCTGCCGAAAACTAAAAAAAAAAAAAAAAAAGATAAATATTTTTTTAAAAATAAATAAATAAAATGAGAAAAGGATTTCTTTCAAGAGGGAGGTAACTTCAGTTGCTTTCAGAAGAGAAGATTAGTTTGTTGAAAAACCAAGAACCAGACTAAGTAAATTCAAGTCTTTGCAGATTTTGGCAAATCTATAATAAAATTATGTTAATGTTTATTTTATACTTGGGTTTTCAGTGCAAAACAGAAGAGAATAAAATGCCTCATGGCAAAAAGAGAACACTGAGTCATAATGACTGTAGTATCCCAAGAGTAAATCAAGGAGCAGAGCAAAGCATTGGAAAGAGGGGATTCTCAGCAATAGGACTCATGGTTGTTAATCACGAGGATTCTGGGCAATAGAATGCATCTTTGAAACAGACCTTGACAAGGGAAAAGGAATTGTAGGTCCCACATAAGAAGGTCTGGCTCCCCTTGCATCCCTCTCCCCTGCCAATCAGCTCGTGTGACAGACTATACTGGCTCTCCCAGGGTCTTTGAAACAGAAACAAGGGGCAGATGACTACCCAGATCAGAAAAACTAACTAGGATGGGCAGCCACACATGCTGAGGAGCAGGTATGGAAACAGGATTAATACATAAAAGGAGCCTCGGGAGGCTAAATCCATGTCGAGTCATACCGGCTATGGGGTGGGTGGCAGCCTATCTGTTCATTCAATCAATATTTGCTGAAAGTTCTTTATGTCCCAGGCACTGTGCCAGGCATTGGACTAAGTGCTGGAATGGAAATAATAAACTATTTCCTGATTTTTCCCCTCTTTTCTGGAGAAGAAATTGGACTGAGGTCTGGCTTTCATTGGCACAGTAATGGGGCAGGACTTGTGTCTATAAGAGACAGACTTCAGTCTGGGTATTGGGGTCAGATTCAGGGCAGAAGACCTGGGTGAGATGTTATTTATATTATTTCTGGAATTTGTGCTCATTTTCTATTCTCATCTTGGCATAATTTATACTTGATCAGCAAATTAACCCTTTTATGTGTTTTTTTTTTATAAATAATATTTATATAGTTACGGCAGAGGGGGTAGGTTTTGACTTTTTAGTTGTTAAAACAATAGTGTACCCAGCGGCTCGGGTGGCTGAGACAGGAGGATCGTGAGTTCAAAGTCTGCCTCAGCAATGGCGAGGCACTAAGCAACTCAGTGAGACCCTGTCTCTAAATAAAATACGAAATAGGGCTGGGGATGTGACTCAGTGGTTGAGTGCCCCTGAGTTTAATCCCTGGTACCAAAACAACAACAGAGTGTCTAAATTTCAGGCCTTGATGTTCACCTAAAATAGGTGTATTTCCAATCAGGAGAAGCAGTAGCAGACCTGGGAAATGGCTTGGTCCGTCACGACATTATTACATGGACAAACCCTCAGTCAGAGTAGGGGGCCACAGTGGAGTATAAGGATTCTAAGTCACTGTAAGATAACTTTGAGGGAAGATCCCACCCTGAGCTCTTTAAGACACAGCACTCAGTAGCCATCTAACTCAACAAGGGCAACCTGGCAGTGCCCCATTCCATCCAGCTCAAGTAGGTCTGCAGGATCACCCCTGGTCTCTCAGGCAAGCATATTCCTCTTCAGTACAGGAAGGGAATCAAGGAACCAGTTCTGGTGTAGTCAACAATCCTGGACCCTTGATTTATTGAGTGGAATTGAGATGAATACTTATTTGCCATCATGGAATATATTTTCCCCAAGTGATGATGTTGTGCATGATGGTAAAATTTCTACAATAGCCTATTCAGATACGGACTTGCCTCCTTACAGCATCCAGACCAGTGTCTTTAACTAGAACTCTAATTACACTAATTGAAAAAAATGTTACTGCAGGGTTGGGGATGTAGTTCAGAGGTAAAGTGCTTGCCTACCATGAAGGAAGCTCTGGGTTCAATTCCCCGTGCTGGGGGCTGGGGGGAAGGGTTATACCAATGGAGAAGAGGATAATAGGAAAAATTGAAAGTTCATTATTTATTTATTTATTTGTTGTAGGTGGACACAATACCTTTATTTTACTTTTATATGGTACTGAGGATTGAACCCAGTGCCTCATGCATGCCAAGTGTGAGCGCTCTACCTCTGAGCCACAACCCCAGCCTGAAAGTTCTCTTTTTAAGCACATTTAATTTTGGCTATATGATTACAGGTTCTAGCTGAAAAGATTCCAACCTCTGCTTTGATGTAAACTGTGAGGATTCCAGGAGACAGAAGATTTTTGGGAAGCACTTTCAGAAGTTTTCAGATGTGGTCTGTATTATTTCAATCTCAGTCCTACACTGTTACAAAGAGTTTTAGAAGCAATCAATCTGTGTAACTTGTAACAATTAGTAAGTGTTCACTCTAGGCCATACACTTTTTTTTTTTGGTCAGCACTTGAACCCAGGGATGCTCTACCACTGAACTATATCCCCAGCCCTTTTTATGTTTAATTTTGAGACAGGAATTCACTAAGTTGCCCAGGCGGTTGAACTTGTGATCCTCCTGCCTCAGATTTCCAAGTAGCTGGAATTACAGGTGTGCATCACAATGCCCAGCTGACAGGTGCTTTTCTAATCACTTTACATTCATTAACTCATTCCGTTTATAACTTCACCAAAGTCTATGAGGTAGATATCGTTATTGTTTTCATTTCACAGATGAGAAAATCAGAGCACCAAGATTGTCCAAGATCTGATAGCTCGCAAATGACAAAATCAGAATTCACACCCAAACAGTCTGACTCTGGAGGTTGCACTCGTAGTCCCCATGTTACATGGTAACTACAGCATTGGCTATCTCAGTCCACATTCTCTAAGTAAATGGTTTATTAAAACAACACTTAGCTCTGTTTATATGTTTGGCATTCATGTGTTAGATGATTACCTGTCACCACTGACATTTGTTAAGTTTGTTTCTAAAAAGTGACAAGTTTAGTTTTAAAAATAATTCATCTTTTTCTGCCCTCTTTTCACAAGAGGTACTTGTTTGGATAGTAACATTTTAAGAACCAAAATAAGTGAAATAGAGCACTTTTGTGAGGCTAGATCATGGAGAACCACTCGTTCAAGAACTTGTTTTCAACAATTGTCCGCTGCCAGATGCAAAGGCAATGCACATGCCAATGTAATTAATGGTCAATAAATATAATTTATGTTCATTGAAATCTTCCTGTAAAACAAAAAGTACCTTTTATTTTCCTTTCCTGTCATTTTTCTTAAGGCAATACACAACTCCTTTTATTTCTCCCAGGTTTGATATAAGACTAGCCTTTTCACCATTGATCCCCTTATGAAAACCCAGGCAAAAAAGTAAATTGGAAAGCACTCAGATTTCTCACTAATTTGTGATATTTTAATTTTCAAAGACTCTTAGTTATTTATGAGATAAACTAATCTAGAGTGACCACATTTTTCCTTATCATTATTATTTCTTGCACAGGACAGTTAAAATTTTTCATACTTATCCCACTTTAGAGATAAGAAAAGGAACAGAAAGTATTAGCCTGTATTAGGACTTTTCTTACAGAATATTATTTTGACTTTATGAGATCAATGAGCAGCTCAAATTACACTGTATAAGTTTTAGATGGTGTGCTTGTTTTAAAATTTGTTGATTTTTTAAAATATTTTTTTTACTTGTAACTGTATACAATATCTTTATTTATTTATTTTTATGTGGTGCTGAGGATCAAACCCAGTGCCTCATGCATGTGAGACAAGAGCTTTACCAATGAGCTACAATCCCAGCCCTGTTATGATTTTTTAAACTTTCATTTGCATTTATTTTATGCTAAATTTATTCCCAAGCAGTAAGTTTTTGTTTCTTCCATTTCTTCTGCAATATCTTTTTTTAAAGAAATATTTTTTAGCTGGTGATGGACATTTATTTTATTTATTTGTATGTGGTGCTGAGACTCAAACCTAGTGCCTCATGCATGCCAAGCCACAATGCCAGCCCCCCCCCCTTTTTTTTGCAATATCTTTTTCTTCTATACATCCTACTCTTCTGGTATAGGAACAATCTGTACCTTTTCAGTGAGGACCATCATAATTTGGCAGGGGAGCTTGTGTATGGGTTAATCTAACCATGAGCATTGTAAATATGGCAGCATTTCTTGTGTGTTCTCTTCACTTGGATGTGTTCAATGACCAGAGAATCTACATCGAAACCTTTAAGTTCAGCATTACATATGCTGAGCATATGCTTCAAAATGTGCTTTTGGCCAGGATACATCTACCATTGTAATTCTGTAACGGCACACATTGTTCCTTCAAAGTGCCATCTTTTAAATACTTGGTTGCCTGGGCAGTTTTATGGGCATTCTTAAAGTGAAAATGAAGATTTGAATCTCTTGCTTTGCACAATTTTGTGGGGTTTTATGGGTCAAGAGATTAGTGAACTATTTTTACAGATCACCTCAGGCCCTTAAGGCAGAGCTGTTGTGAATTTTAGAACTTTCTATTGTTGTGTCATAGTGACTTAGTTTAAGAAACTCTTCTGATTCTTAAGAATTATTGAACTTTTACTCCCAAATACCTTTTGTATGCAGTTCAAAAAATGAAAACTAGATGCTCTGAGTAGCTCTTGGAGTAAATAAATAATTAGAATATGTGTTTCTTATGTAACATCCTTGGGAGATGGACCAGCCATGGACCAGCTTCTTCCCTACCACAGGAGGGTGGAGAAGGGAGCAGTATAAGACCACCGAACCCCTATCTGGAGGAAGAACTGATTTCACTGTGTATCTTATTTGTTTAGATGCTATTTTGAGAACCATATCCACCCTGTTAGCTTACTGTCCAAAAAGAAGTATCTGAAAACAAAACCCATACCCAGTGAAGTCAAAGCACATGGGGTTATTGGCATCGCTGTCTTGCCTACTTTACCTAAAGTGTGAGAACATAAGGGATGGGCACTGTCACCACTGTCTTTCTCTTTTTGTCCTCCAAGGTAATAAACAGGCCTCTTTTCCTCTTCTAAAGCCTTGTTTTAAAGAAAATTCAACTCAGTTGAAGCATCTCCAAATTACTGTGGCTGGTTTACAAGCTACTCTGGAAAATTATGGCCCAGAACAAATTTAGCAGCTATGTTTTACAGTAAAAAGAAACCCATGTGGACATAGTCTATTATGAAAATATGATCCAATTGAGGATTTTTTTTTGTTTTATGAGTAAATATAGATATTATGTTAAGAAATTAGATAATTTATATGTACGAATTCAATAGTAGATTGTGAATGATATTTCTTAGGAAAAAGCCAATAAATCACTAAATTTAAAAAATTGAAGGCAAATATTTAACAAATTAAATTCAAATAATTTTACTCAGTAATTGTGGAGACAGATCATGGTAGAGAAGTACACTGATGAAAAAATTTAATCAAGAAAATAATCACTGGATAAAAGATAATACAATCATATCATCAGTGGAAAAAAAAAGATGTTTTTCAAGAGTTGAAGGCTAGGATGTCATCAAGATAAAGATCAAATAACATGGAGAATAAAAGAAACTATTGCTTCTTTGTGGTCAATAGGAATGTGCTCTGTGGCTAGAGATCCTGAATTTTATATTCTGGTGATAAGGCCAGCAAGATCTTGAAACAGAAACAGAAATGACAGAGCATAGTCTACAAAGTCAAAAACATGGAAAGTATGAAAGGAACATGGAGAGCCTGACAGAGCTCTGGGCATTCTGATGTGCTAATTAAGAAAGAACAGTTCAGATGGATGACTTCTTCAGACTGCTTGTGTTTTTTTTGAAATGTATTGGTCTTATGCCTTAAAGGCCCACAGTAATAGTAATGTCAGTTCTGTTTATTTCCTTTAAAAAGGAAGAAACATTCAAGGAGATGAGACTACACAACCACAGCAGGAAGAACCTATCCTTATTCTGTGTGAATTGAACCAGAATCATTGCTCACTATTCAGAGAATAGCTTATATAATCTTTTGGTCAACCTGTACTTGGTACACTAATCTATTGACACCTCTGTAAACCAGTATTATTGTTCTTACTTTACCAAATATTGACTGCAAACTGAAAAAACAAGGACCCTCCCTTATACAATTACAGAAAATAAGAGCAAAAGAGAACTGAAAGATGATCTTGGATAGGCCACCATTTTATAGATGAAAAAACAGAAGTACAGAGTGACTTGCTAATGTCTCACCGGGTTGGAACACAGCCCGCCTACAGCTCCCTTCCCTGATTCCAGGATGAGCATCACGGAGCCCCTCTCATTGGGTAGTGAATGAGTGCATTAGGAAGATAGAAAAAGACAGAGGACTCAACATGAAGGAGCTTACAATCCAGTTTGGAAAGCAGATGTGTACCCTACTCTTTAAAATTCTATTGCACTCTGCACACTATTGCTAGAATGATCCTTCTAAAAATATACCTGCCCTTGCTGAAAACCCTACAGTGGCGCCTTGAGGCCTTTGTGGTGAAACCTCCTTCCTGTTCTCCAACTTCTCATCTAACTGGATCTATGCTGATGCCCAGGGTCTAGTTACAGTGAACCAATTGCTTTTTCCTAAATGTGGGTCATTCCTCATGCTGTCCCCTCCCTGGAATGCTTGAAATGACTCCTCTTGTCACTCCACAAAGTGTTATCTCCTTTGTAACAGATTTTCTTATTTTTTTTTCCTCCCATCTCTAATCTCTCAGGTAGAATTGACCCATTCTTCTCTTTGTCCACGTGTTCTGCCTATACTTTTTCTACAGGAAATATAGTAATATTGATTGTTTTAAAATACATACCTGTATTTGTTTATATATATATATATATTTGTATTTTTCTCTACCAATTAAAGGCAAGCTGCTTTATATAAGTCTAGTTCAGTGTTTGGTTCATAAAAACTCCATTGAATGAACTATCCATAGAGGGCCTTACAAAATGCTATGGGACTGCGCTAGAAGGAGAAGTGACCTTTGCTTGGAAAAGTCACTCCAGAAACTGAAACACAGGTACCAAGAAGATGAATAATAATCCATTCAGGCAGAATGATAAGGTTTGATTCATAGCTGGTTGTAAGAACAGAAGGTACAAAGGTACGGAGGGCTGTTAGAAATGGTGTGCATTTAGGAAATATTGAGAATACCTGAGAAGACAGACTGAGTGATATGGTGATTTTTCTTGTAGTTATTATATAAATGTCAAGGCCTGAGATGCATGCTAATAAAGGAGCCATGGTGGTATTACAAAAAGCTAGAGAAAAAAAGGTTTGGGAGGTCAGTGTTCAGGAATCTGAATGAGGGAGTTGTCTGTCAGAGAAAGGGACAGGCAGCACCAGGGTGGTGTTTTTGGATGGGAAAGCCTGATCGTTGAGCTGAGGGTTCAGAGAAGTGATAATGGTTCAGCTTAGGAGTGATGGGGGCCTGAACCAAGGCAGTGGAGATGGAGAAAAGAATGATGGAGAAATAAATACAGCATGCCACCATGGTGGCTGGTGGCTGGTTGAAGACAAAAGAATGAGGGAAAAAAAGAGTCAAGAGTAATTCCAACAAAGAGGGATGAAGGGAAGGGATGGGGGATGGGAGTAGGAAAGACAGTAGAATGAGTCAGGCATAACTTCCCTATTTTCATATATGAATATATGACCAGTGTAACTCCACATCATGTACAACAGGAATGGGAAGTTATACCCCATTTATGTATAATAATATGTCAAAATACACCCTACTGTCATGTATATCTAAAAAGAACAAAAAAAAAGAAAGAAAAATTCATTGGCAAAAAAAAAAAGAGATTGCATGAGTTTATTTATATTGAATGTTGAAGTAGATGGTATTGTGATATGGAAAGCAAGGAAGTAACAGAGTTGTTTAGAGATACCTAAATGAAGATGTTAAGAAAGCAGTTGGAACTATGTGTCTCACACTCAGGAAAGAGTTTAGCTCATGAGGATTTCTAAATGATAACTGAGTCCAGAGCACGGAAGACAGCATCTGGAGAACATGTGAGAGGTATAGAGCAGTCTAGGATGATTTCCTTGGGAAGGAGGAGAGAGAATAAGACCACAAAGATGAAACTGGAGTAGGCACAGAAATAGGGGAAATCAAATGTGGAGTCAAGAAGCCATAGAAAGAGTTTGTTCACAGGGAACAAAGAGTTCATAATGTCAAAACAAAGAAAGGATACGGATGATGAGGACTGAGAAAAGGTCCCGAACGAGCAATAATATAAGGTTTCAAACATACTCATTGGGGGCTGGAGGATGTCCAGCATAAGCCAGCCCCAGTACTGAGCCAGTGACCCAGAGACAAAAGGCTCCTTCTTTCTCTCTTACTCTCATCCAGTTCATAAGCCTGAGGTTAAATTGAAACTATGATTTACGTTAAATAACTTCATTTAATTAGGGCTGGTGAAATCGAGGTGGTTGGACTATAAGAACTTGATAAAGAACTGAATCTTTGAAAAAAAGAACTGAGAGTCTTTCACATTAACTTCATTCTTCATTTGTATGAGTTGAGATTAGGTTAAGGCAGTAGTTGATTAAAGAAATAAAAGAAAAACATGAAAAGCAAAGGAGAATAAGAGGTATTCATTTTTAAAACTGATTACATGCCTGTAATCCCAGCTATGTGGGAAGCTGAGGCAGGAGCATTCAAAGTTTGAGGCCAGCCTCAGCAACTTAGCAAAATCCTGTCTCAAAATAAAATTTTATAAGGGACTGCAGATGGTTGGGGATGTAGTTCAGCAGTAGTGTGCTTGCCCAGCATGTGCAAGGCCCTGAGTTCATCTCTGGTACTCAATAAATAAATAAACAAATAGATAGATAGATGGATAGATAAAATGGTATGCCAAACCATTTAAAAAAAAAAAGTCCCACAGCTCTTCATCTCTTTCTTCTCATGTCTCATGACTCCACATAGTCCACAATCTCTTATAGGAAAACATAAGTTAGCATAACAAATATAGGCTTTAGAGGGCTGGCAAGACAAAATAGATTTACTTTATAATTAAGCATGTATTTAAAAATTGTCTAAATTCCTCAAAACTGTTCTAGTAAGAGAATAAGTATGAGGAGTAAAAATGTGGTCTGTGGATGGTGCTGAAATAGAGAGTAAGCATTTAGAAGTTTTGAGAGAAAACTCAGAATGTTGTGACATCTGAGCATGTCATCAGTGGGCTGATTTCAGTGAGCTGGGTATAAACTAGTTTGGGAACTGTGGAATTCACACAATGAGTCATATGTGGCACAACCTATGTAGTAGTCAGGGGTAAAAGGACGCAGACCACAAGTTTGGACATTTTTAAGAAAACAAATTAAAAAAATTAAACCCCACAGAGAGTTTGAAGTACCCCTTTAGATCACATTTGTAAGTTAAGACTCTTTATAGCTAATTTGGGATGAGGAGGTAGAGGGCTTGAGAACACACACACATACACACACATACACCAAAGAAAAGAAAAAGAAAGTAAATATACATATATAGTGAGAAGAAATTGAAAGTAATCATAGATGTGAACTGGAGGTGAAAATGTCCAAAAGAGCCTCGTAAGAAGATCTTCTAGATTAAATTTAGGCTAGTTTATTTTAAAAAATTGCTTTGCTCTTTACAACATTCCCAGAGTCTTTAGGGGTACCTGGTACCCAGTAGGCAATAAATAAGTATCTGATGAATAATTAAATTAATTTTTCTAACTACAAGGTTAGGACTACATTAAGGATGGGCAATGATAGAATTTGGAAAAATGGGTAGGAGACTTTAAAGACAGCCTAGACACAAGTTAGTTGAACTAATGAATCTAATGGATACGAAATAAAGAAAATATGAAACCAAGAAATATTGGGAGGAACCTTCAATTTTTGCCATTTAGTAGATAGCAAGGGCATCCACCCAAGTCCAAGGAGAAACCTGGGATCATCTTTGATTCTTCTCTTTCTCTTTACCACCAATATTCTGTCACCCTCTGGGTCCTAAATGCTACTACCTTGACCTCTTCCTCACACTGCTTTAGTTTGAGTCACACCACCTCTTGCTGGGACTTTTGCAATAGCTTCCTAAGTAGTCTTCCTGTCCCAGGCTCTTCCCCATTCAACCTTTCTTTCAAACTGAAAATTCTGTATTTTGTTTTAAACCACTAAAGTGTCTGGATTTACCTTGTACACTTAAGCAATATCTAAACTCCATGGTAGGGCAGTTCGTGGTCAGGCCTATATCATCTAGTGCTTATTCACATTCCAGCTTTGTCTTCTACAACTTACTTGGTGATTTTTGAACTCAAGCAACACTGAACTACTTGCAACCTGGTCCTAAGGGTGAGTCACGCTAGTTTATGCCTCTGTGCCTTGGTTTCTGCTATCCCTTTTACCTGGATTGCTCTCTACTCCCACATCCTGCCTGCCTGCCTTTGCATCTGAGTTTCCTACTGCTATCATAACATATTACTACAAACTTAATGATTCAGAAACAAATTTATCATTTTATTCTTTGGAAATCAGAAGTTTGAAATGAACTTGATAGGGCTAAAATTACCAGTGTAGCTTACCTTCTGGAACTTGCAAAGATAATCTGTTTTTCACTTTTTTTAGATTCTGGAGTCTGCTCACATTTTTTTTTTTTTTTTTTTTTTTGGCTGATGGCTGTGTCTTCTCACCCTTTGCTCTTCTCACCCTTTGCTTCCATTGTCACATCTCTTTCCCTAACACTTCCACCTTCTTTTAATAGAGGAATCCTTGTGATTATATCAGACCTATCTGAATAATCTGATCTCATCTTCCCTGAGCTTCATCATATCTGCAAAGTCCCCATTGCCATGTAAGCAGCTATCATTTAATGGTTTAGGATATGGACATCTTTGGGGAGCCATTATTCTCTTCAATTCCAATTGATGTTTTTTTAAATGTTTAAAATGTTCTATTTCTAAGAAACCAATGGTTCAAGAAGTAAATATATGACAAATAGGATTTCACATTCAGTTCTCTTCCTTTCTAATACAGCTTCCTCAGTTGTGGTGAGAAGGCAAATGATGAGAGAAAAAAACTCAATCAACCAGAATATATTTCTTAAAAATATCCTTGGTGGACAGTGAAAGTCTTCAATGCAATGATAACCGTGAATATTTGTTAACTGCCTGCTAATAAAAGTAAGGTAAGACTGTGTGTAAGGATGGACACTATATTTCTTTAGTTTCCAGAGCAAGTGGTCATTAATATTAGGTTTTACCTATTGCTATTTACTTTCTATTTTTAGAAACTCTGTATTTATTAATTTGAAAGGTGTTAGCCATTAGCTCTCTTGTAATTGCTCTTATGAGAGAGAATGTGACTAATGGCAATAAGCATAAAGCGTTTCCAGTCCATCCTAAGGGGTACATATTCTGTTTTTGTTTGAATCATAGCCATGGAAATCCACCATGTGAAGAGGCTTGGCCAAGTACATTGTTAATTAGTTTTTAATGAAAGCTTCTAGTCCTCTTAAGTTCAAGGACTTAAGAGATCTTAGTCCATGGTTGGCTGACTCCATTGCTTTTGGCCCAAGGTTGAGACAGAATGTCATGGTGTAAGGGCATGGAAGAGAAAGTTCTCAGCTCATGGCAGCCTGGAAGGAGGGAGGGAGACACACACACACACACACACACACACATTTTCATGTTACATAATCATCAAGATTTAGTTGGTGACTGAAACTACCATGTAGTCATCACATACCCCTTGCCCTGATCCATTCTCACCTACTTCCCATTCAGTCACATGGACTTCCAAATTCTTCTCGATCATGATGTGCTTTTCTCATCCTTATCTTTCTCTGTAATGCTCTTCAGCATTTCTGTTTTATAAGTTTCTATTCATTCTTAAGGCACAGATCGAATTTTCCCCTCTGCAGTGCCTTTTATGATATTCTCAAGACAGAATCTTAGCTACTTTGAGTAGCTAAGATATCTTGTACATGTCTATATTATATATTTTACATTGCATTTTGCTTGGTTATATCCATATCTGTTCTTCCGTACGAGCATGCAAGGGTCTGGGGCTGTAGCTCAGTGGCAGAGCGCTTGCCTTGCATGTGCGAGGCACTGGGTTCGATCCTTAGCACCATATACAAATAAAATAAAGGCATTTTGTCCATCTACAACTACAAATTTTTTTTTAAAAAAGAGTGTGCAAGGACTACACTTTGCTTATTCCAGTGCTAGTCATATAGCAAGTGCTCAACAATTTTACTAAATTACATTGAACATATAAACCAAAAAGCATGTCAGGCAATAGAAAGCAACCGAAAGATAAAAAGGGTGCCCTTGATGAAAAGTAAGGAGGAAGTAAGAGACTGAGAAGACTCTTGCAGAGAGCACTCAGAAGACTCCAAGAGGCAGAGTGTGATGAAAGGTGGAGTTAGTGCTGACCCTAGTCAAAGAGAAGAGAGCACACACTAGCACCAGATGCACTGTGTACCTGGAAATCAATGAGAGAGCCCACTGAATTTAATCACTAAGAGATGCTAAGGGTTGTCAGAAGCATAACTTTGAGAGCTCCCTACTAAGGGCCCTGGTTCTGCTACTATTTTTAGCTCAGAAGAGGAAGCATCTCCAGAAGGCAAATGACTTGAGGAAGAGAAACACCAGACCTCCTATCAGCTCAACCTTCTTGAATACCAGGGATGTAGACACCCTTGCCCAGTTCTAAATCAGTTTGGATGGCTCTGTTCTTTCATCTGATATGTAGGATTCAAAGTACTGGGAGGTGTGAATGGTTCTAAGGGAATACAGGGACCAACATGACATGTTTCCCTACAAAAAAAATGCAGATTTTCATCAATGGGAAACAGTCAGCTTAGTTGTCCATGCTCTTTAGAATCAAAGGTAGAATGTCTAAGTCTAGCTTCAGAACTGCAAGCAAATTCTCCTCCAGGGAACTTGTCTGGATAAGAGGGTTCCTCTGAAAGAGGCACTATCTAACCCAGTGTATAAATATTCTCCATGCCTCTGCCTACCTTGAACCTTGCTCTCATGTCTTCCATCAACATTGCCTTCAACGGCATCATCCACCCTGTGTTCTGCTTGGCTAGGCTTTATAGCCAGCTATCTGTCATGACCTGAGCCTTATTTAGACAAACTCCTACACTTGCTATCTGCCTGGATTTTTGCCCAAATTGTTTTTGTATCACATCGAATTCTGTGATCTCCATTTATTGTGATCCAGATCAGTCTACTGTCTGTCATCAGATAGGTCATGCATTCTCAACAGGAGTGAGGATGGTTTTGGGGGAATAAAAACAACTTGTATATAAACTACAATCACAATATATCTGCATATATTAAGGTTCTCCAGGGGAACAGAACTGATAGAAAAAAAATATATATATATAGAGTGTGTGTGTGTGTATATATATATATATATATATATATATATATATATATAGAGAGAGAGAGAGAGAGAGAGAGAGAGAGAGAGAGAGAACTTTGTTATGAGAGATTAGCTCAGGAGATTATGGATACTAGAAAGTTCCATGATCTCCTGTCTGTAAGATGGAGGCCCAAAAAAGCCGGTGGTATAGTTCTAGTCCAAGTCTGAAGGCGTGATAACCAAGGAAACCAATCATTAAATTCCAGTCTTAACTCCAAAGACTGAGGAACCAGGAGCACTGATACCTGAGCACAGGAGAAGAGAGTAGCAAATTCATCCTTTCTCTAAGCTTTTTTGTTCTCTTTGGGCCTTCAGTGGGTTGGAGGACGCCCGCCTGTGAGACTAATCCTTTTACTCAGTCCATTAATTCAATTGCTATTCTTTTCTGGAAACACTATCACAGATATACTCCAAAGTAATGTTTTACTAGCTCTCTGAGTTACTCTTAGTTCAGTACAGTTGACACATAAAGTTAACCACTTTTAAGCCACTATTAAAATTTCATAGGTGAGATTCTACAAAGTCTCCCTTGAAGGGCAATGATGGGGAGACAAGTACCATGATGGGTGATGAAGCTTTAATCTAATTTAAAGAGGAGCACAAGAAGAGTAGATGGTCAGGAAACAGGCAGCCAGGGTCAATGACTGAGAAGTAGCTTCTAGAGAGGATTCTAACCCAGAAAGCAGTTGTGACCACTTATTAGGTGCCACTGAGCTGTGTAAAACCCTCTCATACTTATTAGCAAAAAGCTTCTCCTCCTTTTATTTTCAGTGTACATGTTCCCTGCAGAGAGATCAGCAGCCTTTTCCATGGGGACAGTAGCCCACCTTCCTCTCCTTTGCTTCAGCAGCTTTTATGCTAATTACCCATTTGGAGGTAACTTCTGGGTCACATTTTGCAACATATGACAATGAAAAACACTGCCCAGATTGTGTTTGTAAAAGCTCCTTTCATGGCAGCCTTTCAACGGGTTGGGCAATTTAAAAGATGCAACTGTAATCATGACTAACTCCTTAAGACGCTTGAGGGAAACCTGAACATCCTTAACCTACTTTTGAAAAGAGAGGCAAGAAAATTATAGGAGTGGGAATAATCCAAAGAAAACAATTTTAAGTCTTTGAATAATAGGCAGACTCTAGAACCTCAGCTGAGCTTGAGATAGCTAGGACAAGAAAACAAAATACTGCTTGAAGGAAGCAACCATTTGTGTCTCCTCTAGCATATTATTTTTGTTTTGATATTTTAATTGTCTTTTTTTATTCTTTCATAGCACTCAAGAATTTACTATCGAGTCTTTGCATTTTGTCTTAGACAAATCATTAATGTATTGTATTCATTTCCTACATGTGACACCCATGGTTTCTTTGTCTCCTACTCTCTTACTCTTGTCATAAACACCAAAGCAGGGATGATGTTTTGGGGTTGGAAATCTAAAGGGAGAAAATGAATGAGCCACAGTGTCCACTTAGAATCTACAGCCAACTCTTGGCAGCTTATCCGTGGTAAATCTTGCTTTCAGCTTCTTGTTGACTTTATCACCCACTCTGTGTGCTTAATAACTCTGTGATGGATGTTATCACCAGCTCTGTTTATTCTCGATGCCATGAGCACAAGTTGAACAAAGAAATATAGAGGAAAGCCTATGTTTTAGGTGTCAAATTGACCCTCTAAAATTCCTCATCAACATTTAAGTGAAACTAGCATTGTTTTAGAAAAAAAATAATTTATATTTTGTCAAAATAGTTGTGCATGTAGACACAATCTTATTCCTCCTATCTGGTCATACTTTGTGCTCCAGAGAGAGAAGAGGGAAGATTTTAAAAGGCAACATTCCCAGGGAGTATGCAAATCACAGGTGAATGTATGACTTGAAGTAACAGGGAAGCATCCCTGATCAGACACATCCAACTGAGAGGGGCCACTGGCTACAGAAGAGTAAAACAAAGGACACTGTGAGTAACCGATAGCTTTTCCAATCCTGGGTCATTTTCACATTGTAGCATCAATTTTTAAGTTTTGTAAATTCTTGCAACATTAAACATATCCAAAGAATTTTTCAATATAGTATTTTTTTGTGGGCTGCCCTGGAAATCAAACTACTTTGAAATTTAATTTTTTTCTTTTTAAAAAATTTGTTCTTTTTAGATATAGATGACAGTATAGTGTATTTTGACATATTATACATACATGGAGTATAACTTATTCTAATTAGGATCCCATTCTTGTGGTTATACGTGATGTGGAGTTACACTGGTCGTGTATTGAATTTAATTTTTGCTGTGATATGGCTGACTCTAACATTTGGCCTTTTCAGTTCTCCAAGATGGTTTGAGTAATAGAAAACATACAAGCTTTGGAATTATTGTACCAGGAGTTCAAGTTCTACCTCTATACTTGCTAGCTTTTTTTAAAAAGGTTTTTATTTATTATTTATATATCTATCTATTTATTTATTTTTTAGTTGTAGTTGGACATATGCCTTTATTTCACTTATTTATTTTTGTATGGTACTGAGGATCAAACCCCAGGTCTTGCATGTTCAAGGTGAGCATTCTACCATTGAGCTACAACCCCAGCCCCTACATTTGCTAGCTTTTTGATCTTGGACAAATTATTTAACTTCTGTGAGCCTCAGTATCTGTATTTGTTAAATGGAGAAAAAGATACCTACCTTTTGGAAAAGATGTGAGGATTTAATGAGATCATGTATGCAAAACACCTAGCACATAGGAGTCACTATGTAAAAGGCTGTTCTCACAGGAATGGTTGCAGAGTTGGAGGAAGATGAGGAAAGGTAAAAAAATTCTCACTAGCTGATAGATGCTTTCTTAACTTTATGGTTTTACTAGCAAATAAGGAGAATACAGCCTAGCCATATAGCAACATGGGCCTGTTTTATTTCTGCAGGCTCTAGCCACCTCAGAAATCAGAATGTGCAGGACTAAGTCTGAGAGAGTGGAAGAAAGAAGGAGGATAAGAAGAATGGCAGCAGACAGGATATGTTCTTATAGTCAGAGACTCTCCCAGCATTCCTCAGCAGTTGAGCTGGAACAGGAGGTGAATGGCTGATGGTATATGCATCAAGCCATGCTACCAAAGTATTTTCTGCTCAGTCTCCACAGAGATTGCTCCTTAGCTCTAGATAAGTTCCCCCACAAGTATTTTACCAAAAGCAAGAAAGGCAGCTGCATAATTAACTGCCAGGTCCATAGAGCTGACAAACTACTATGTCATCAAAGAAAGAGAGAGTCATGCGAAATAAAAGGACATGGTTCAACTCCTCAGTCAGGGAGTCAGGTGGCTGTGAGGTGGCACGTTTGACTTTGGCTCATTAATGAAGTTTCTCTTTATGTCCTCCTCCTCCTCTTTGCCTACCTGCCCACTTCTGGTTCCACTGGATAGGCAGCCTACCCAAATCATCATGTGCAGAGTGTGTGCTGTGTTCCCAGCATTTATTCAATGCACGTATATCGAATATCTTCCCAGCATTTATTCAATGCACCTATATCGAATATCTTCTATGAGAATAACAAAACTAATAAGATTAGAGTGTATACTTTTGTAAACCCCAAAACAGTACTCACACACTCAGCTAATTGTTAAATGAACATATAATATGTAGAAACTAACTCTATAGGGGCTCAGGGAAAGGAACCTTGAGGCTGAGGAAGGCTGCACTGAGGATGTGACATTTGCACTAGGCCTTGAGCTGGGATTCCACAGGTGAGGGCACAATGGATAAGGGAGAGCAGGGAGGAAGGGCATTCCAGGCAAAGGAAGTATATGCACAGAGGTGAGGAGGACATGAGCCCATAGCATGTCTGAGGACTGGCTGGTAGTTTCATGAGCCCAGACATAGACTGTACAATATGCGGCAACAGCAGAAAAGGCCAGAAAGCCATGCATTTTCTATGTGTCTGTGAATTTTGAAGCCATTGATGGGTTTTGAGTATAGAGTGATAGGATTATACTTGTATTTTGGGCAATCCTTGGGGCTTCAGTTTAGTGAAAGGACTGAAAGAAAGTGAGAATGGAACCTGGGAAATGATTGGAAGATTACTGAAATTGTGGACAATGCAAAATGCTGCAAACTGATCAAGAAGGATCAGAACTGAGAACCAGTTAATTGGATTCTGCAGTTGGAGATCTTTAAAAAGAGATCTAAAAGTAATTTCACTAGGATAATACAAGCAGAATTTGGATGACTAAAACAGTGATTTGCAAAGTGTGGTCCCCAGAACAGCAATATCCATATTACCTGGGAACTTGCTGCAAATGTAAATTATCCAACTCATTCCACACTCACCCCAAACTCTAAGAATGGAGTCCAGCAACTGGAGTTCCTTACAAATATTCTGGGTAATTCTGGTGCATACTAAAGTTTGAGAGCCACTGCACGCATTCCTTACTAGGAACTAACTCTTACAATTGAGGCATTTGGTACTCCCTAATATTATGGTTTCACAATTCTCTGCATAAGTTGTTTCTTCTGTCAGTCATATGATTACCCTTACTCAGTATATGTACAGCCTCTGCCTGGCAATACCAAACTCATGGTTTAAGGCTTAATGCAAACATCACTTCCTTAGGAAGCTTCTCCAGTTTCCTCCAGGCAGCTCTCCTATGAATTTTTGCATACTTATTAGAAGTTTCTTGGAAATAGGAACTCCCCTGTCCATCTTTATTTCTACATCATTTTTATGTGCAGATTCTCAGTAAATATAGGAAGAGGATACTGCAATGGGTTGAGGAAGTAAGATCAGCAAGGGATAAATTTCTCTCTTAAAAGGTTTGGGAGTGGGATGGGGTTGGGACTCAGTGGTAGAGCGCTTGCCTAGCATATGTGAAGCACTGGGTTCTCAGCAGTACATATAAATAAATAAAATAAAAGTCCACTGACAACTAAAAAATATTTTTAAAAAAGGTTTGGGAATAAAGGAAAGATACATGTATCTACATTTATCTACAATAAGAGTGTGTGTGTGTGTGTGCGTGTGTGTGCGTGTGCGTGTGCGTGTGTGTGTGTGTTTATATAGGCTAGAAGAAACTTGTTGGCTGAGGGGATTAAGCCAGTAGAGATGCATGGTGAGATAGGGTGGGGGCATACGGATAATGAATGGCAAAATGATCGTGGTAAAGGCAGAAGAGGATGAAATCAGGGGCCGATGCAAGTGGATTAGCACTGAAAGAAGGGAAGGTTCTTTCCTCTGAGATACAAGGGGAGGAAGAAAAAGTGGCAACAAAGGAGATAGATCAAGAGATTGAGGGGGAGAGTGTGGCAAGTTCTTAGATGTCCTGGCCTGCCAGTAATAGAATTGGTGGGGACAGGGAAGGTCTTGCAGGAGATGTGACATTGACCTGGGAGATGTCTTTAGAGAAGTAGGAAGTGAAGCCTTTTACTGGGAAGGAAACAGGGAACAGAAAGTGGGAAAGAGAAGAGTGGTAAAGACTTGTAGGTGCCACGGAGGGGGCAAGTGGTCAGGGGAAAGGCTGCAACAGGAGATTCTTTAGGGGGGGACTCCTTCTCCTTGATTCAAGATAAAGAAGGGCCCACCCATTCAATTGACTTTGGCAATGAAAGCAGCATGTGGGTATTGTCTCCAACGGCTGTCTCTTCAATAAGATATATAACTTCTGGATACAGGTCCCAACACCCATATAGAATGTATTCTATCTCTGTATCTCAATTAACACTGGAATATTCTGCAGAAAATAACAATGCTACATATGGCATCTATGTAGCACCAAAATAAAATATTTATAATTTATAAATTACCTGAGAATCCAGGATAAAAACTGTATTCAGGTGTGAATTACTACCCTGTAATTTTTCCTTTAACTTTTAAATTGATGTTTTTATGTTTACAATTGAAGTTATAGCAGTACATATAATTGGTTCTTTCTCTATTGGTTTTTGTCTTTTACTAGGAAGAGAATATTAGAAGTAAATATTTCAAAATAAAGTGTTGGAGTGTGGAACCAATCAACAAAGTTGTCTGACCTCCCATGTGGCAGGCAGAGAAAGGAAAAGCAGTCCTTGGGTTGCCTCAGAGTTGCAGGCTGCCAAGCAGGCGGCTGGGTACCATGCTATAGGAGAGCACAAAGAGGTTTTGTCTCACAATAGACTTGGGAGACCAGACTTATAATAAGTAATTAGAAGACAACTTAGCACTCAAGTGGGTCATCTGAACAACAGATGGGATTGGATCACCGAGACAGAGACCTGTGAGCAAATATTAGCATGCAGAGGTCAACTGTGTCACTGGGGTTGGTCAGATGGACCTGGGCTTATCACTTAGAAGCTGTGTGATCTTGGGCAACTTCCTCTGGTTTTAATTTATCTGTGAGGTGGAAATGATACTGACTCATAAGCTGTTTGGAGCATTACAAACAATAAAATAGGTAAAGTGCTTAATAGGTACTTGACATACAGTATGCGCCTGTTAATGCTGGCTGCCATGATCATGATCAATGTCATTAGTGTTGCAACTATCTATGAATATTTATGATGGAAGGGACTGATTTGAACCAGGAGAAATTAAAATTTTTGGAGGAAATTCAGGGAGGTATGCTGGAGAGCTGGCCTCTCCTGCTGCTGGGACAATACTGTGGGCTCATCCCAGGCCTTCAGGGTGGAAGAGGGAGTCATACAAGGGGGAACTCCACCTTGCTTCTTTGTTTGCTCCTGTGCATTCTACTTCCGCACTTCTAAACAGGTGCATGTTACTCCAGAGGACCCTTTCACCTTCCTCTCCCACTCTTCTGTTCTGTTTTTCTTCCCTTCAAATCTTCTAACTTCCCCTTTCTCCTCAAAACCCCAAGTGGTAGATGAGTAAGGAAGTATACTACTTTCTGCAAGTTCTAAGTTTGCCTTTTTTGAAACTTAAAGTTTCCGTCCTAATTCCAGCACTTGGGTTTACGTTAGTAGGTGGTGCTCACCATATCA